TCCTCGTATAACTCCGTACCGCGCTCATTTAGACCCCGGTGTTGATCAGAAGCCCCACTGAAAATATATGAGTTTTTTTTTTTGGACAACTTTATTAGCGTTTCATCCATCTATGTCGGAAATTAGCGGAGACGGAGAAGAAGGAAGCTATTATTACAGTGGGGGCCGCATATAGAAACGTGGGAGATTAATATGAGCGCGGATGGGGGCCAGATGAGCATGACGTCAAGGGCCCCCAACCCCGGTCTTAAAGTGGAGGCATCTACACAGGGTTCGTGTGCAGAGGAACAAGTTTTCTTCAATATAATGAGGTCCAGAAGACATCCTGAATAGGCTGAGTTCACGTTCTAGAATTTGTCCAAGTTATAATTTCATATGAAGAGTTGGGGTCTAGAAGATTCTGTGGGAGATTCATTGTTTTTTTTTCTGCTCTGTTACTGAGTTAGACTTTAATCTGAGTTTTATTTCAACTAAATCTGACCAGAAAGAGCTGACTGTGCTGGGACCACAACAGCAAGTCCTTCTCAAATAACATTACAGTCACCCTTGTCAAACTCCTAAACAGGACCATGAACGCTCGGACTGATCACAGACTCCTGTCTGTGCTCTTTAAATCCGTTTTGTCTTTTTTTTCTTAAGTTCTCAGACCTTCTTAAAACATATTTCGCAGTATTTGCTATTGTGTGCATTGTGTCACCAAGAGATTCGCAAATGTTAAATGTTCAGTATTTGGCTCCACGAACTTGTCATATTATTGTTATGCCTTAAAATCCTTTCAGCTGAAAACGATCACATATTTGAGGTTGAATAATGACTTTTATATTGGGGGGGAAGAAGAATCATTCCTGTTTATATGTTCTGGGAGACAATGAACTTTGTGCCAGTTTTAGTTTCATGTGGACAGGAACAGTAATTACAGAGATAATAACCATAAACAAGGTCAACCCATCTGCATCTGACATTCTACAACACACATCTTGGATCACATCTTTTTGAACAGAGGAGAAGATATACTATCACTTCCGGACTATAAGCAGTTACTATTTTCACACACTTTGAACCCTGCAGATAATTTATAGATGGATTATTGGTTTATGGATGCACGTGCAGCCTGAGGGCAGAAAGAGCCACTGTCTGTGTGGTTCACTTGAAGTTACAGCGTTAGTTGTTGTCAGCACTGAAACAGTTTATTACTATGTGATAAAATAAGTTCTGATGCTAAATGATCATTAGTGAGTGGGATATGTCTTAATGACCTGTATGTGTTAAATGCAGGTGTGTGTGTAAATGACGAGAAGAAATGTCTCAAACTTCAGTAGGCAGACATCCACTCAGACCTGATCCATACACCTATTCTGAAATCTGCAGAAATCCTACAAGACATTGACATGATACAGACAGAACAGAGACTCTTTCTGCAGGAGACATGTGCAGTAGAGCCATAGTCTGTGTCAGGTGAAGAACTTTGTCAAGTGACATAGTCTGGTCTGATAATCTTTCTATAGATTTTTACAGACTAAGGCCTCCAGGGGAGGGTACAAGAGTGTTACAGGCACTGTTCAGAAACAAAATATGTACTGGTATTTAATAATAAAAAAAAAATCTTTCTGTGTACAATTATTCTGTGTAAATATCTCAAGTTACAACATGGACACGACTTACTGACAAGTGTATATATGTATATATACACTATATATATATATATATATATATATATATATATATATATATATATATATATGTATATATACACTATATATATATATATGTACTTTTTTTTCTTTGAAAATACATGAGTAATTTCTTGAACCACTACTTTGTTCATCTACTTGAGTAATATTATTTTGAAGTAACAAGTGCAATCTTGGGCTACTCTTCCCATTTCTGTTAATGAATGAAACAGAAATTCAACTTGGAAAATGTAGCACTATACTGACTGACCACAGAGACATCGGTGGGTCAGTGTTTAGAGTTTATACCCACCAACCCAAAGGTCCAACCTCTGAGCAGTGAATACAGCGACACTTCACCCACCCTGCCTAATGAATGTGCTGTGATTAGTGGTGGCTGGAGAGATCAACTTGGCAACCTCGTGTAGCACTTTGAGAGGCTCGTCAAGCTTGTGAAATTCTACCGGGTTACAATAAAATGGTAAAAATAAAATTATAAATACACACATTTCCTGTGAATTATTTGTGCAAAGACGGAAAGAGCTCACAAAGAAAAGGAAAATGTCTCTCGTAACAAATGACTCCATTGTTTCACCTGTGTCCTACTTCTGCCCACACCTCCTCCTCCCCCCCATGCTCGAGGTAGACCCCAGCTCACGTCCTGCGGGAATATGATGATGCCTGCTGCTTGGCTCATGAGCACGAGGGCAGCGCGTGTGTGTGTGTATGTGTGTGTATGTGTGTTCATGTGTGACAGATACTTATGACATGGTAGAGCGTGCGTCACTGCTGCGTATGGCCGTGCGTTTTTTACCCTTGAGTGGTCTGAAGCAGAGTGTGTGAGGAGAGTACGTGAGCCGGTTCATTTGTACTGTTAAATGTGCCCTGTTCCACTCCATTAGCTCTGCACAGGAGGAGAAGCAGAGACAGATGTTTGCAGCGACGTAATACAAGAAATACACACAAACAAGATCATAATAATAAAAAAAAAGAATGGATTTATCATTAAAGACGGGGTATTATACTTCTGGAGGGCATTAACTGCTAAAATATGAAGTATTTAGATCACCATGTAACCTTTTATTGTTTTGAAGATTCTATATTTGCCAGCAAACAAGATATTAACATGTTTAATAAGCTTGCTCCTCATGCTAAGTCACTTCCCCTTCAGAGTGACTTCACAACACAATCAAACAAGAGCACATCACATCAGGTTTGTCAAGTTGCTGTACAGTTTTGTATCTTGTTTTTGTACACTTCTGGAGAATTGTAATGTGAGAGCCAAGGAAAGATTGCTAAATTACTCAAACATGCATGGATGGCATCTAAAATGTCTTCAGGCAAGTTTTTGATAAGATAAGATGATCCTTTATTGTCTCCCATGGAAGAAATTTGTCTTGGGACAGGGGATCACAGCTTTATCACAAAGACAGGACAACACAACAACAGAAGCATCACACAAACATCCACCACAGAACATAAATAAATAAGAGACCAAGTAAGACCATGAGTGATGCACCAACAGGACCTTTAAGTCACTCTGTACAGGCAAACCCTTCACAGTCTTGTAATCTATTAATATCCCTTGATCTATGTGATGAGGAAACAATGTTATAACATGGTAGAAAGCTCCAAAAAAAAAAAAAAAAAAAAAAATCCTCCTGCTTAGACTGCGGCCTCTGCGACCCGGCCCCGGATAAGCGGAAGAAAACGGAATATATATATATATATATATATATATATATATATATATATATATATATATATATATATATATATATATATATATATATATATATATATATATATATAACAATGTGGGATCTAGAATCACACCCCCAACCTGTGAGTCAGTGGATCTGACTGCTCAACCTTTTTTTTTTTTTTATGTCAAAAGCAAGATTCGAACCACCAACCTTCAGATCTGTGGACAAAAGTTATACTATTACCAGCTGAGCTGCACTGTCACTCCTTTTTCGCTCCTTTTTCGTCCCTTACATGTTGTTCTGTATTTTAGCTCAACAAATGACAGTACAGTATATTCCTCTCGACTGTTGTCAGGGATCACATTGGTCATAAACAGGGACACCTGGGGCATTTCTTACATAAAACTGGGACATATCAGTGGTTTTGTATATGTCAGTGGGGACTGGGGACACACGGCTCAAAACTGGGACTCTCCCATGTGAACAGGGACATCTGGTCATTCTACACACCTTATTCAGAGCCCACCTGCTTTTGTCTCTAAATGCTCCTAAATTGAGCTGTTTTGTGGTGGCACTTCCAGTTAAACAGGGATCCCATCATGTCAGTGGAGACTCTGGGAAATGTTTTGTGTCTTGATTGAGTGCAAGATTTAATACAGCACAAGGTTTAATAGAGTGCAATATCTTACTTGACTGAATTTTGTTGTCTTGGTGTCCCTGTCATCTTCATCTTGCACCAATACTACGTACTTATTAATTTACTCAGTTTTTCTTTAGTACTGTGTTGTAAGTGTCCCACGTTCATGACGGCACTGGAAGGTGATCTCATTGTACATGTGTATAGTGACAATAAAAGTCATTCTGTTCTATTCTATATGAAATAAAGTTGGTTCATTTGTGTAAAATGTTCATTTTTCACGTGCACCAATGAGTCACACTGCACCAACTCTCTGGGAGCTTTAAAACGCCTTTATAGTTCGTACTAAAGTTATTTACTGTCATGATCGGCGGCTCCATACAAGATAATACAACCTGAATAACTCCTGGAATAAGCTGGATACAATATGTAACTTTCCCAAGTGCTTAAAGCGTATGGTCACTTTTCAATGTTTGTTCTTTTTCAGCACTCAATTTATTCATTAATTTATTTTTGTTTGAGCAAGGTACATTAGAAAGCATATATAAACATACATGCACACACTGTAAACCCAGACACTGAACTAACTCATAAGTCTTTTAAACTCTCCAGTCATAATTTAAAAAAGAGCTCTGAAATGCAAATCATATGAGTTCTAAACATTCATACATGAATTTAGTTCCATCTGGGATAGAATTTATGAGTTTGCCGTTTGTGTCTGTCATAATATTTGAGTTAGCTATGATTACGTCATGACGTCATTGAACGTTCTGTCTGCTGGACGCATGGAGTTGGAAAATTCAAGATGGCTGGCTGAAGCGGAGAAGATTGTGGCGCAAAATTTGTTAAGTATCTACTTTAAATTGCATATTTTCTGTCAGGTTCTTGTTTCTTGATCAAAAATAGAAGTATAACTTTATTTGTTTGCCAGTGTTTAACGCAGCTAAGTTCGCCGTTTCTGAGAACCTGTGGTGCTAGCAAGTTGAAGTCCACGTGGTGCCGCGGACCGCCGCAGATCAGCAATCTGCTCCCCTGATAGTGAAAACTGTGGCAGCACTGCCCTCATTTGTTACCGTCTTTGGTAGGTAAAACTTTTTATGCAGTTCAGATTGTGTTTGTAACAATGCGGTCGGTGCGGCAACTTCACATTTGATGAGCGGACTCGGGTAGCCGCCCTCCCCACTTCTCAAAGCGGCTCTGGGACTGGGACGTGCGCGCACCCCGTGCAAAACTTTCCATGTCCCGGAGCACATCACTTCAGAGCGCCGTTGCAGGGGCTTTGAGCTGCGGGGAGAAACGGCAAGCCCACACCGGGCTCTGATCCAGAATCTGAGGTGAGTGGTGAAGTCTGCCACTCCTAGACAGGTGATGAGCTAACTTACGCGGTTCTGAATGTGTGCGGAGGACAGGCGGGTTCTGATACTGCGTGGTGGTTCTGATGAAATGTAATTTAGGTTAACGTGATAACAAAATAATTTAAAATGATAGTAATTTGTTGGTATGGGTGAAATTTAGCATGCCAACAAACCACAAGTATACGCATTTTTACTTATTACTTGTTTTATTTACTGATTCTTCCTATCCACGAATTCAATTAAATGTTAATTACACAGTACTGAATTTATTTTTAATTGTGATCATGTGTTTTGCAGGATAAAGAGGAAGTTTGAAGTTTGATTTTGTGGTAAAGTAGAATAATTGTATATATTCTTCCCCTTTTTATATAAATGGTCTTATTCTCTTCTCATTGGTAATGTTTTGCATATATGTATTGACCAGTTTCCATCAGTAAAAGAAATCTGAAGAATCTAAAATCTAAATCTAATCTTCTAAAATGTTTTTTTAATGAAAAGTTTGATTGCGTATTAATATACTAATACTGAATTATGCTTATGGTACTTTTACATCAGTGCTGCTTTGGTGCTTAAGAGTTAATAATACTGATTGCTTTTCAAGTAAATAATATAATATTACAGGAACCAAAATAAACCAAAAAAACAAAGGGAAGTATTGCATACATTAACACACATTTTTCTTTTCTTTTCTTGCAGCAACACATTGGATCAGACGTTCACTGTCCAACATCTGCTTTTCAGTTATATGGCTGAGGTAAGATTTAATTGATTTCTGCAGAGATCAGGGGGATTTTTAAAATTGAGCAGATGTATTTAGTTTCAGCTTCTCATTGGAAGAGGCATGCAGACAACATTTGCACTTAGACGGCAGGAGATTGTCACTGGAGATAAAACAATAAAGGATCTACTGGCTCAATGGCCCGCCCTTAACATGGAGTCACAGGTACACTTTAAAAACAAACGTTTTTTGGTATGTCCAATTAGAAAATATAACTACTTGTACCCATATTTTGTGTTTTCAGGTGTTTGCGGAGTTCCATCGCATCACCAATGTGAATCTCCGCAATACATTCTACGCAGAGCTTGATCGTCATACAAAATCACTAGTTGCACTGTACAGGCAGAAGGCTTCTCACACAGGAAAGATTCCAGAGGCCCTGCAGAGAATCCTCAGAGAATATGATATGCAGGTATTAATTATATTCTGTGGAAATGTGTTTACTATCTCAGATGTATGTAGTACAGTCCCTGACAAAAGTCTTGTCGCTTATCCATTTTGTAGAAACAAAAGCTTACAACTTGACTTTAAATTAATCGATTGGTTTTAGAAATGTCTCATATGAAAGCTAAAAACCCTCCCAAATTATGCTCAATATACTAAAAATTAATTTGCTTCACTGGAAGAAAGATTGATAATTTTAATGAACACAGAAAGGTCAGATTTTGGAAAGACAAAAGTCTTGTCGCCTTTGTCATATGATGCACCCAATCCTAGATTACAGCCTCACCTGTGATCTGTTACTGATCAATCAATTAGTGTTTGTGTATAAAAAAGAACCCCAGCACACCAGACCTTCACATCAACTGCAACTTGACCTCTGACAACATGACTAAGATCCACCCTGAGACCAAAGCATTAATTATCAAGAGGCTGAAGACCAGATCCACTGCTGAGGTGGTGACACCTTCAATGTGTCTCAGCGTCAAGTACAAAGAATAAGAAAAAGATCTGAAATGACTGGAGATGTTTTTGACAAGCCCAGGTCCAGCAGACCCCGCAAGACAACTGCTCGGGAGGACCGTTTTGTTGATTCGAAAATCCAAGGCCAGCCCCTTTTCCACTGCAGCAGACTCCACCAGGCCTGGTCACCTCAAGTCCCTGTGTCAACCACAACAGTTTGTAGAATTCTGTCTCGAAATGGCCTCCATGGTCAATCAGTGCACAGAAACCAGCACTGAACAAAAGGCAATTAAAAAACCGTGTGGCATTTGCCAAGGCCCACAGCCTGTTAAAGGATGGACACTGGAAAAATGGCAGAAGGTGGATTTCTCAGATGAATCCTCGGTTGAATTCCATCACAGCCACCGCAAATATTGCAGGAGACCTACTGGAGCCACATGGATCCAAGATTCACCCAGAAAACAGTAAAGTTTGGTGGCGGAAAAATCATGGCCTGGGGTTACATCCATTATGGGGGTGTGGGAGACATTTGCAGGGTGGAAGGCAAATATCAATAGCTTAAAATATCAAGACATATTAGCTCCTCTTACATTCCCAACCATAAAAGGGTCAAATTTTGCAGCAGGATAGTGCTCCATCGCATATTTCTATCTCTACATCAAAGTTTCTCAAGGTGAAGAAGATCAAGGTGCTCCAGGACTGGCCAGCCCAGTCACCAGACATGAACATCATTGAGCATGTCTGGGGTAGAATGAAAGAGGAAGCATGGAAGGCAAAACCAAAGAATCTTGATGAACTCTGGGAGGCATGTAAGACGCTTTCTTTGCTATTCCTGATGACTTCATCAACAAATTGTATGAATCATTGTCAAACTGCATGGATGTAGTCCTTCAAGCTCATGGAGTCATACAAGATATTAAATATGGATCTCACAGCACCACTACTTCATTCACTGACGTTATGCAACATATTTTTGTATTTGAAGTAAATTATTTTTCAATTTTCTGTAGGCGACAAAACTTTTGTCTTGCCAAAATCTGACCTTTCTGTGTTCATTAAATGATCAATCTTTTTTCAGTGAAGCTAATTTATTTTAGTATATTGAGCATAATTTGGGAGGGTTTTAGCTTTCATATGAGACATTTCTAAAACCAATCGATTAATTTAAAGTCAGGTTATAAGCTTTTGTTTCTACAAAATGGATAAGCAACAGGACTTTTGTCAGGGACTGTATTTTAAAAGTAATTTTTTTTTTTTTTTTTTCAATAGGAGGAACAGGATATAAATTTGAGGCGCACACTGTCACTTCGTGCGCTTTCAGTCTACTTGAGAGAGGATGACACAGACTTTTATAAAGCTGTAATGTAAGTAATCTCAATATTAGAAAACTATGATTGACTGCTATTTGGTTATACTGTCATTTAATTATTATATTAAGTTTACTTTCTCTGTGATTGATCATTGTGAGCACTCTCATACTGATTGTAACACTTGTATTTTGCAGCAAGATGGTCAATCAGATGTGTCGGACTGCCCACTTGGTCTACTATCGTCATCTCCAAACCTGTTCATACCAGGAAATCTCTCAATTGTCATTGAAGGAAACGTCGTGTTTAGTCAGCTGTCGACTGTGCCAGAGGCATTTCTGCTGCTGTTTGGACTCATCTATGTCTTTAATATTGAGTATCCAAAAAAAACCTTGTGAACACTTTTAACCTTCATCCAGAATATTCTAGTATGTCTTGATGACAATTCTGTGATGAAACCATGCCTTCGCGCACTGAAAAATGAGCTCTTTAGAGATGTGTTCCCGATTTAAAAACATTCAAAGAGCAGTCACCTTAGTTTGATGCCACATTTTATTAAGTATGCTATATTTGCTAAAGAGAGATTTTTGTTTTTATGTTCCCTTTATTGTACAGACCTTAAGCACTTTAGCAATGCTGGGCCTAAATGAATGTTTGAAGTTTCAGAAGTATAACTGTGAAAATAGAAAACTATTGGAGATGATTATATTTGCCACTAAACTAGTGTAAAATGCAGGCACTTGTCTTGAAGACTTGAAGTTCTAAAATGTTTTTTTTTATTTAGAGTGAAGTTCCAAGTTTAACTCCTCAATTAATGTTGATTGTTTTAGCTTAATTCTCAAAAACTATTTTCTAAAGATTGAGGGTCATGGATATTGTTGCACTTTATTTTCCATGCACATGGCTTAATAACCATAATTGAATGTCAAAATCTCTGCAATACTGAAGACACTTAATGTGTATTAAAAACTATTTGTAATGTTAAGGACAGTTTTAAATAAATGTCCAAATTTTCAACCATGGATTGTTTGTCAACAGAAAAATTAATTTACATAATTATTTTATTTAAGTCTCATGAAACTATACAATTTTAGTTGAACAAAATTAATATATTGCATACAATAATTATAAACATTAAGTTATTTAAACGTAAAAAAACAAAACTCTAATCTTTTGAGTTTACTAAAAATTTAACTTTTACATTCAATTAAACTTAAAGATTTTTAAACATTAACTCAAACTTTATTGGGTAATAAGTTACGACATAATTTTTGAGTTGACTCAACTTATCCGGGTTTACAGTGCAGGTATATTTTTCTTTGTGGTTGTACAAACTAATAATAATGATAAAGGAGGCAAAATAACTCTTAGCCACACCTGAATAAGCTGGACACAATTTGTAACTTTCACAAGGACTTCCCAAGTGCGTAAGTTGTATGGTCATTTTTCAGTGTTTGGAAACTAATCAACACATGAGACTTCACCAACAGTTGTGCACTACTGGTTAAAAGAGAGAAACATACACACCGAGCGTTTATGAGACTGATGAATATAGAACACAATTAACAGCTAGAGACACAGCTGATGGAGGTGCTAACCAGTGCTAATGACACTGTGAAGGACTACGGGGGATGGAGCATTGAGTGTGTATACATGCACATCAGTATCCCGGTTATTAGCCATATCCCGGTTATGTCGGGATACTGCGTGTACATGTGCCCTGAGAAACTGGAAAACTCATATCCCTGTGACATGATCCCGGTTTCTTGACATAATCTTACAAATGCGCAAGAGAAAAAAAATTACTTAAATCAATTTAATAAACCAGGAAAAATACAATCCATGAGCTCCTTTAGCGTCGGAAGCTCTGGAGGTTTAACCAGCGGTGAGGAGCTGTGAGATCTCCCACAATCCACTGCACACATCAAACCCAACAGATTCTTCATGAAAATCTTCTGCATAAATAAACTCAACTTTACAACATCTAAACTATAACCACTATAGATCCACATCAGCCCGTTTGATCAGATAATTCAGCTTTGCTCATATTTGTTTACGTTTTACAGAAACAAAACTTAAGACCACATGGCTCATTTACATAAACTGTTAGAGCTGATAAAATCAGCTCGCTCCTTGTGCTGCTGATGTGGTTCACTTTATTTATGTTGGTCATTTTATTTATGTCATCACTTTATTTATGTTGGTCACTTTATTTATGTTGGTCATTTTATTTATGTTGGTCACTTTATTTATGTCGTCACTTTATTTATGTTGGTCATTTTATTTATGTTGGTCACTTTATTTATGTGGTCACTTTATTTATGTTGGTCACTTTATTTATGTCGTCACTTTATTTATGTCGTTACTGTTGTGGTGAAAAGGCTGGAAAGTGTCTTTTGGATGCATGTACACTCAACTTTACGTTGCAGTAACCAGGATACTGTGTATACATGCCACAAGTATCCCGGTTACTATTGGAATAAACCAGCTACAGTATCCCGATTTCTAATAACCGGGATACTGCCATAACCAGGATACTGAAACCGGGTTACTGCGTAAACATGCACCATGAAGAAACCAGGATACTAATAAAACCCAATCATAAGCGGTATACTGATGTGCATGTATACACACTCATTGTTTGTTTTACCTTAGACAGATCAACTTAAAGGAACAGTAAGATCTGTGTTTTAAATTCCATCCACAGTTGTACACGCTGTCACTGGGAATGATCAGGGCGTGTGGTGTGAGTTCGCTTGGGTTAAATCCAGAGGAAAGCGCAGACATCCCAAATGTGCAAAGCTCTTCCCCTCAGCACGAGCACTACACTTCCTTTAAATTAAAAAAAGCTCCGGTCTTGACTTCTAATCACGCTGGCAAAGCCTCGAGTGGCACAAATAAAACAAGCCGGTCCCCGACCTTCAGTTCAGGTGAGGTTATGGGGTAAACTTAGAGTCTCCTGATGGTTCTTTTTCAGCGCTGGCCCATTTCAGATCAGCCCAGATTTAAACCACTCACACACACACACACACACACACACACACACAAACACAGTCCACCATCACAACCATCTGCTACTGCAAACACCAAACAGCTCAGTACAGTCTTTCATACAGTATTCAGACCGTATCAGAACTCCAGTCGTCTTAGCCTGATTACAAATGCAACTTTTAGTAACTTTTAGTCTTGCCAAAGTACAAATATACAGTATATGCAGCTCTTGAGTGTAAAATACGGCCACTGTGTGTCATCTGCATCTAATTTGTTAAGTGCATTATTGTCTGATAATCAGGAAGTGCACTGTTATCATGCTATAAACTCATTTTGACACAGTGAAAATCAGGTACAGCACCTTTAACATATAGTTCAACAGAGAAGTGAAATAAAGTACTTTCAGTGATCATTTTAGGTGAGAATTTTTGTGCCTGTAAAATGATCATATAAAATGTAATAGTTACTAAGAGGAGCTTCAATACTTGAGTACTTTAAACTACTTTGCTGTGTGAGTTTTATCCTTTGGTGTCACTGTGCCTTCGTCTGGGCTCCGAGTGACCTGACCCGAAATGTGACGCTCCGAGGACGGGGGGAGAGAGAGAGGGAGGGAGGGAAGGAGGGAGGGAGGAAGGGAGGAAGGAGAGATGGAGGTCAGAGGTCAGCCCAGGCAGCACAAGTGCATCGTGGGTAAACGTTGGCATGATTCACGTGGACAGGCCCCAAAGAAACATGACACATCAGAAACAACTACGGTCAGCACTAAAATGAAGAAAAAGTACAAAAAATATTAGGAATATCCTCCAAAATACACACCAAGAATGCACTTTTAATTAGGGGTGTCAAATTATCGTGTTAATTGTGATTAATTAATTACAGTCATATTTAGTGTGTTATGTTTTTTAATCGTGTTAATCTCATTTTTAATCTCTAACTTTACTGTTTCTGTTTGTGAGTTGCTTTATTATAAAATCTGTTTTTATGTGTTGTTGGGACACAGTCTCGCACTGTGCAGTCCTGCTCCGCTCACTTCTGCAAAGAACTGTAATTTTCATTCCCGTTCCCGCCGCATCTGCGATAAACCTGCACACGTCTGATCTCTGAAAACATTGCGACACAAACATAGAACAGACTCACCTTCAGCATCAACATCTTCTGTCACAAAAACAACATCTATATTCCACTGAGTCGTGTCTTTTAGTGGAAGCTGAAGCGCATCAGTGCACAAGAGCGTTTTTTTTTTTTTTTCACTTAATTTATGCAAATGAGCCATGTGGTTTTAAGTTTTGTTTCTGTGAGACTTGTGCAAATCTGCATTAAACACATGATAATGTCAAACAGCTGATGTGGATCTAGAGTGGTGATGTTTATATGTTGTAAAGTTGAGTTTATTTATGCAGATTAGTAACAGTAATAATAACTATGATACTTATATAAAAACGTTAGTATGAAAATAATGTAATCATGAATTCAAATGAAAATACCTCAAGTTGAAGCTTTTCTCAGCAATTTTTAGGTGAGATTAAAAAGAGATGAATTGGATTAATTAATTACAGATCATAATTAATTAATCTCTCAATTTTTTTTATTGCTTGACAGCACTACTTTAAATTAATACAAAGTGTTAAGTAATTACTAACTAACACTGGAGTGCACTCACATGGACTGTTTTGTTTTGGCTCTCTGTACATTTGTGGAGGGGAAGATGTCTGCGCTTTTGTCTGAACTGGATTTGACAGAAGTTTGAGTCATCATCTCGCTCTGCTTTAGTGACGCTGTACATTTGAAAAGTCTGAGTTCTGGCTCAGAATCCTCAAAGAACAGCTCTGTTTATCACACTGTACCAGTGCTTCAGAAGAAAAGCAACTGTATACATATTTTCTGCTGATAAATCTATTCTTAGTCTGCTTCATAAAAGCACACATGTCATGGCACACCACACACGGATGTGTGGATGAAGCGCTGCAGTGGTGTGAGGAACACAGCTTCATCTTCAACGTGGAACAGACAAAAGAAGATTTCTGAGCCCAGATCTGTGACCAGCACAGCTCTGTTCAC